AGAGAGAGAGAGAGAGAGAGAGAGAGAGAGAGAGAGAGAGAGAGAGAGAGAGAGAGAGAGAGAGAGTGATGATGGAGGAATGCAATGGACCACAGCAATGTGCAACAGGCTGTGGAGATTGTGAGGATCTTGTGTTCGGAAATTCTATGCAGAGATATGGTTTTGAAGTATGGGCTAAACAAGCAAGGCATGGGTCGAATTGGTTCGGTACCGAAACAAATCCCTGAGCCCGCTTCGGTACCGAACCAGAGGCATTGCTTAGTAGAGGAGGAATCAACAAGGAGTGAGCATTGAGCATTCGCTGCCTTACCAGAAGAGCTTTTCATAAGCTACCACGGCAGATGCAGCCATGAAACATCGAAACTTGAAACAACTACCGGTAGGCCCAAGCACAGGACCAAGCTGCTCTGGAGTCTTCTCACACATAGCAGACGTCTCTCAGCTGAGTTGAGTAACTGCTCTTGAGTCCTTTCACACAGAAGAGGACCTTCCTTTCAACAGTTCCAATACTTCCCAAGTTTGTCTTTGTTTTTTTTACCTTCTCCAAACCTTCCCTTCTCTTTTTCGTACTTCTCTCTGTCGTGTCGATTCCAGTTTGGTACTGTTTTTTATTTTCTTTTTCCATTTTTTCATTGTTTTCGATTTATGTGATCTGTTTCCTGCCCTCTCTCCCCTCCTCACTCCGCCCCTCGTGAGTCCCACATGGTTCATTGTGCCTCCTCCTCTCTTGCTTTTTCTTCTCGAGTACCTTGCCTTTTTCCGCTTTAGAGAGAACCCAACGCTTCACGTGTGCAACAAGAAATCAGATCCCAAAGATCCCCAGGGCGAGATATACTGTGCATCTGACCACCAAACCTTTTTGCATCACCGTCTCAACTGTAGGCACAGCGCTAAAGTCCAACTGCCTATAATAGAACTTAGAAGTTTATCAGGTCTGTGCCACAACGCAAGAGCTCAGAAGTTCTACGCGACAATGCAAGCCAGATGCTGTACGTGCAGCGCTACAGCTCATCGGGCTGTTTTGTTGCGAACGGCATAGGTTAAGGAAACAAGAACGAGACAACGTCCAACTCTCAAGCAGATGGTCAAAAAAGTTGCCCTTTAGGTTTCAACCTACCATCGTTGCTGTGTCGGGGAGGAGGGCTCCGCCGGGCTTCAACCATCGATCTCGAGCATGCAACACAGACGACAGCATGGACTCAAAAAGTAGACAATAGCCCATCCACTCGCTCACAATGACGTCAACACTATGGGGCTCTAGTGGCAATATTCCATCCAGCTTCTCAATCATGCCTTCAAAGATGTCGATCACCGGATTCCCTTTCTGCAATTGTCCCCCGTCTTCTCTCCGTTCTGCATCTTTGCTCCTTTCTCCACCTTCGCTCCCTCTTAGGTAACCATTTGCCTTAGCAATCTATACAAATGACACCAAAGCGGAGCCAAAAAATGGTAACCCCACAAACAGGAAACCTATATTACACCCCCCAAACAGGAACCCATAGTACACCCCACAAAGAGGAACCCATAAACGGTAACCCCACATACAGGAACCATTAGTAACCCCCCCAAACAGGAACCCATAAATGGTATCCCCACAAACAGGAACCTATATTAAACCCCCTAAACACGAACCCATAGTACACCCCACAAACAGGAACCCATAAATGGTACACCCCCCAAACAGGAACCCATAAATAGTAACCCCACAAACAGGAACCCATAGATGGTAGCCCCACATACAGGAACCCATGCCATGGTAAACCCCACAAAGAGAGACCAATGGCACCCACAAACAGGAACCAATGGTACCACAGAAAACAAATGGTACCCACAAACAGGAACCCATAGTACACGCCACAAGCATATAAGCATGTTTCACTGCACTTGTTCGCACTGCAATTGCTAGACAGACTTAGGACTCTGAGTGGCATTTGACGACATCAAAAGTCGAGACGTGTATATACTATACAGGCGAATATCCTTGGGAACTTCTTGCTCTCAGAATATGGTAAAGAAGAGCTACATGTTCGGAAAAAAAAATTTGCATGTTACCTTGGCCATTATGTACAAAAGTTTTTACAAAAGTGCGATTCAGCAGGTCGTGAGTTCACTTCCGATGGCCGCACATGCCTGCCTGGGCACACTACATGTAGGTGCCTACCACATAGAGATAGCCCGTCGCCCCCCGCTGATCTTTGTAGGGGAAGGTGGGAGAAAGGAAAGGTGCAGAGACTAGCAGATCACTCTCAGTTCTAGCACTCTCTGTAGTAGACCACCCATTGGTCTAGCCCGCCCAGTTTCCATCGGGCTGGTACAGTTCAACTTTCTCATCATGCGGGAGAGGATATAGATTATGGGTTCCGCTGAAGGCTGCAAAGGCCACCCTTAAGCAATTCAACAGAGGACTAAAAGAGGAGGGAGGGGGGGGGGGGTTGGGGGGAAGAAAAAAATAGAAAAAACAGCACATCCTTTTTTTTCTTTTTGACATGGGTAGGACACCTTTATGTTGCCGTTGAGGTGCTGAAATATGCCTAGAACAGGTGTTGGGAATTCAAAACACCCTCTGGGCTTCCCCCAAACACAACGCACCCTCATCAAGACTGTATCAGACTAGAGGGATAGCCCGTATACATTTTAAAACACCTGCTTGACTTCCCACAAATACAGCACACCCTCATCAAGACTGTACCAAACCGGAGAGATATCCTGTATACATTCACGATGAGGAGCACTGTGTTCGGGGGAAGAAGGTAGGCTGTCACTACTTCTGAGGCAAGGCTTTTACAGGCAGCCATTGTAGGGAAAGGTTAGGGCATAACAGTTACTCCTGGGGTTAGACAGTTATGGATAGAGTGCCCCTCGTTCAAGAGAATAGGAGAGAGAGAGAGAGAGAGAGA